AGGACAATCACCCTTGCTCCACAGAATAAAATGCTATCCTCTACGGTGATCTAGCCTTGCCAGGTTCAGAAAGATTTCAATTCTAGTTGCAACGGCCCTTTTGTTTCCCCCAAACCAGCTGTTTAGGTGGCTCAAGGCATTGCATTTGCTACTTAGACTCCTGGACAATGCTCCAGCTTGTAATTATAAGCACTTAAAATGACAGCCCACTGCTGAAATCGACCTCAAGCTATGGGCAGCACTGCCTTGTCCTCTTTAAGTAGCCCTAACATGGGTTTGTTGTCTGTTACTATTACAAATTTACATCTGTAAAGGTATTGGTGGAACTTTCTCATGCAAAGATGACCACCAATCCTTCCTTCTCTTTCTGGGCGTATTTGTGCTCTTCTATATCAGCCCGGCTGGGAACTATATGCTATTGGGCATTCCTCTCACTTGGGCCATCTGTGTGCCAACACTATTCCAATACCATGCAGGGAGGCATCGCGTGTCAACACTACATCTCGCTTAGGATCATAGTGTGTCAACAATTTAGATGACAATAGCTGCCTCCTCACTTCCCTAAAGGTTCTGTCTTGGCTACGAGACCATTTCCAAGGCTGACCCTTTTTCAATAGCATATCTAAGGGTGCCTGGATGCAGGCCAGGTTACGTATGAACTTTCTGCAATAATTCACCAATCCAAGGAAAGACCTAAGCTCCAGTACAGATGTGGGAGCCAGGGCACCTTTGATCACCCTTACTTTATCTTCCAACAAGTGCAACCTGGTCTTATCAACCCTGTAGCCCTAGTAGGTCACTTGGGCTGCCTGGAACACACATTTTCCTTTTTAAGGCATATGCCCCCCTGGGAGAAATGTCTAAGAGCTATATTCAAGTTCTCAAAGTGCTGTTTATTGGTCTTGCTTGTTGTTAGCACCTCATCCAGACAAATAACAACCTGGGGTAGACCTTGTAAAATGTTCTCCATCCCACTCTCATCACCACCGAAATAACGCCACAGAGGCCAGTATCCTGTCACCAAGTCACCCTTTATTTACACGTGCATAGTACTTGACACTGGTCCGGCTTCCTCAGAGTGAACAGAACCTCTGACACGTCTGTTTATATCTGTCAGCCAGGACTCCCTGATTGGACCAGGTTCAGGGAACTCATTATATGAGGTCCACCTGGCTGACCTCATTACAATCACCACACATCAAACCTTTAAGTTCTACTTAACTGAATCTCCCCAGGGCTCTTCCTGTAAACTGGGAGTGTTCTTACATGAAAACAAAACTGAAAACTTAAACTTTCTCAGCTTCTAAATATCTACAAATTTCTAACCAAATCCTCCTGGTTTGGAAGCTGCACAAATAAATCTGTTGAGGTAACATATTCCTATAACTCCTCTGAAAAACTCCTTTCTTGGAAAGAAACTATGTCTGCGCCAGACTCTAATTACACCCATTTTCCTCGAACAGCCCTAAAATCTTTCAATCTGTTATGTTTCTAAACTGAAATTGATCCTTGATTAATTTGAAGCAGAGACAAGCTTCAATATTTTCCCTTCCTGTGTTAAACTCTATAATATAAATAATTTTCCATTAACACTTCAAGATTTGCAGTTATTTGCTCTCTGAGCAATGCTGGAGTAAGGTCACTATCTCATGAGGAATCGGACCTTAATTTTACTTTAAAGAAAGCTCTTCACAAATATAGCATCCGTATGTCACTATTTTGAAATTTAAACTCTAAAAATAACAATACACTTCAAATTACATACCTTTCATCACACTAACATTCTGACCGTTAGACATAACGCAACAGCTGGAACACGACAAATTTTATTATACTGGTTCCAGGGATGATTAGCTTATCCTGCGAGGAAAAATTATGAATATTAGGCATATACTTCTTGGATTTTAGAAGAATGGGAGTTGATGTAATTGATAAAATTGTTAAGGGGTTTGACAGGGTATTTGTTGAGAAAATGATTCCCCTATTTGGGGAATCTGGAACTTGGTAATAATCTGAGAAGATAAGGATCTTTTAGGATCATTTGGGACTGAGGTGATGAGAATTTTTCCCCTCTCAAAATGTTGTGATCACTTATAATCTTTGTTCCCAGAGAGCTGTAGATGCTCAATCATTGCTCATACATTCAGGACATGTTGATAGGCATTCATGCACTAAATGAATGAAGGGCTTTGGGGATAAAACAGTTAAATTGAGATAGACGACCAGGCATAATCTTTTTGAATGGCAGGGCAAGGTCAAAGGGTTAAATGGCCCATTCTTGCTCCACTTTCTTATGCTATTAATGCAGCCATACTGCATTGATCTTGTAGTTTGCAGTAAGTTAAGATAATATTATTGTCTTCCTCTGCAATGAATGAATTTACCAAGTAAAATTTTTGAGACATCATTAACTGATTTGGATGACACTAGATCTCACAGACTGACTGGGCCTGTGAGCAATGGACAAATAGAAATAAAGCATTTATACAGCAAGTTTAATAATGTTAGGTGCACCAATGTGCTTTACAACCAATGCAGTGCTTTTGAAAAGTAACATAGAATTCACAGCAGCCAATTTGCATAGGGCGAGATTACACAAACAAGGAGATTATGACCAGGTTTCTGTTTTGTGATGTTGTTTGAAGAACTGGTATTGAATAGTCATCAAGGAGAATTCCCTTGCACCTCTTCAAAATTGTTGTGTGGAATCTTTGCATTAAATAATTCATGGGATGGTGAGCATCACTAGCATGGCCAGATTGTGTTGCTCATCTACAACTAATTACCCTTCAATGGTCAGGCACCTTTAAACACTGCCATCCATTTGTTGTTATGTTTATTTGTAGTGAGTTAAGAAATTCAAGGTAGTTGACTCAGCGACAGTGAAAGAATGTCAACGTAGTTCCAGGTCAGGATAGAGTTTGGTTCAGAGGGGAACTTTCAGGTGATGGTGTTTCCTTACATCAGCTGTTCTTGTCTTTTTAGATGGTGAAGGTGCTCGTGAAGGAGGGTTGGTGAGTTGCTGTAGTCCATCTTGCATACAGGACATATTATTTCAAAAGTCAGCAGCGGGAATGTCAGATTTACCAGTCTTTCATTACTATTTCTTCATTAGTTGTGATATAAATATTTGAAGGAATAATACCATGTATACAACCTATCAAAATATACTCTTGTCAAAGGTGATGTGTTGCTATCACTTCATTACCCATGTATTATGTGATTACCAAAAGGTTTTAGAACATATTTTTCATTGATTAAAAATGGTGAATCTTGCTCCAAGGAAAAAAAACATAAATTAGGTAAGAAGCATTCTAACAACAAGTAAGTAAGCATCTGCCCCAACTCTCCAAAGAAGCAATTCACTTAGGACCATTGTTGTGCCTTATCCCCTGGACCTTGAATATTATTCCTTTTCAGATTGGCTATGAATGCTGCAAATGCCATCTCTGGATGGCACAAAATAACATGTATGCACAAAGAGTAACCAATGTCATTTGAAAGCAATGAAAACCAGTAGCCCGTCTCAAGGATGGCACTGCTGGAAGTGTGTGTAATACATGGTGAGGAATCAGCACTTCGAGCCCTGAATCGTGTACGCCTGGATCAAGTGTGAGTAACGGTGATCAGATTCTAAGGCCTTTGAAGGGCAGCTAAAGGATAGCACTATTCTAGCAGCTACCCTTCAGCATTAACACAAACTTGAATGAGGAGGTTGTTGGATAGGGTCACTTGTTCCAGAAAGGGTCCTCTCCAGGCAAGTTGGCATGATGAGAGCAAAGGCTGAGGAGATCTGCTCCACAGACACTGCCTGTAGGGGAAGTTATGTTTTCTCACCCCCAGCCTTTACCTTTGCATCCCCATCCCAGTGATGTCAACAGCACAAGCGCAGACACATGCTAGCATTGTGTTCTCAGAAACATGCTGCCTATTGTGGCCATCGAGCCTCATATGCCTCATCTGCACATGCACACGGGTAATTTGGCATTTTGGATAAACACTCCATTTCAAATAATCATCTAATTCCCTACTGGATGCCTGGATTGAATATGCCTCCAATACACTTTCAGAAGGACATTCCAATCATTCCAAATTGCTTCAGGAGTATAATCATTTTTTTGAAAATTACATCCAACCTAAGCAAGTGGTTAAAAACAAAAGGGCTGGAAGTACTCAACAGGTTAGGCAGCTTTTCTGAAGTAGATAAGGGGGTACGAAGAGCAAGTTAAACAGACAATAAACGTTCTCACAGTTTATGACAGTGGCATTGCTAAAAACACAGTTTTACAACCTTTGCAGTTCTGAATAAGTTATATTGCTTCAGTCAAGCTGTTTCTCTCTCTACAGGTGCTGCCAGACCTGCCAGGTTTCTTCAGCACCTTGGTTTTGTTTTCAGATTTCCAGCATGGGCAGTATTTTGCTTATATTTAAGAAAGGGATATTAGGGGCAAAGCAGGTGGTGGTGATGGGAATGGAGGCAAATGTGGACAAATGAAGAAATTAAAGAGGAAATGTTGGAAAGGGAGAAAGAATGGGAGGATGTGAGAGAAGTATTGGGAAAGTGAGCATCAGAATGAAGAGGGGCGAGAGAGGTAGGGAAAGAAAAAGGGTGAGTGAGTGAGTATATAGAAGTGAGAGGGAGGAAGGGGTGAGAAGGGGATGGAAAGTTGTAAGCAATAGCCTGACTGTACATCTTTACAGAGCAGTTACCTGGTTCAGCAGGTCATATAAAGTTTTAGTAAAACTGTTACGGGACGGTTGGGAAGGCAGGAGGATTGGTTCTAGGCCTGGAAAGAGTCACAGAGTCTAAGATGGATAACTTTTCAATCAATAGCAGGTATCTGTGTTAAAGTTGCACAACAAACATCTAATTTCTTCTCAATCCCATTTTTTTCTTCTCACCAAGATTGCTGCAAAGATGGCGACTTCTTTGGGGAGACCGCTGCGTGCACGTGACGGCAGTTTTGGCGGGAACCATGTGCCCTCGCGCGATGCCGAGGCGGGAAAGTGGCCGAGCCTCGTTTGGCAGCGGCGGTTAGGCGGGAAGCGCGAGGGTCCAGAGCGAGCGGCGCCGTTGGTGCCACATGGTGAGTGCTACCGCATCCGGCCTTGACTGTCACTGACCGTCCGCCAGGTCTCCTCGTCCTCTCATCACCCCAACGGGAAAGCTTAGGACCCGCCACCCATCGCCGAGATCCTAGGCGTCAGAGGAAAGGAGGCAATGGAGAAGGTGGGGCGGGGAAGAAGGCGAATGTGACAACGGAGCAATTAAAGACGAGAGGTTGGAAAAAGAGAAGGGATGGGAGGGTGTAAGAGGAGCCTTGGTAAAAGGAGGATCAGAAGCAAGAGGGGCGAGAGAGGGGGTGGGGGTGAGTCAATGAGTGAGGGAGGAGAGAGGGGGAGGGTAGCAAGCAACAGTTCTGTTTGGTAGATCTTTATGCAGTGGCTGTTCCCAGTTCAGAAACTTATTGCCAGTTCAGAAACATTTCCCACGGAAATTGACAGTTTAAATTCAGGCTGATTTTAACACAGGATTAGCTGTATTTAATCTGCCGGTCGGTGCACTTGGGCAATTGGATAGTAAATTAATCCATCGAACACATGGATCAAAGCCTTGCTGAAACGAGGCAGCGAGAAACGATTGCAGACATTGAAGTACTTTAAATGAGCCATTTGATGTAATTATTATTTTTACTCAGCAGCTGCCGTGCTTCGCCTTTGTTGCTCATTTTGATCGTTACAAATTCCGGTCTGCTGGTGGCATGTTCTTTCGTTCTGTTGAGTGGGACACTTTGCTATCAGACTTAATTGTGGGAGTTGACTTATACAGTTCTATATCCAGTTGTAGGTACTTTTATTTTAATCAACCTGTTCAGATCTGTTATTACACAGCTCCGGAGCAGGTAGGACTTGAAGCCAAGCCTCCTGGCTCAGAGTTGAAATGCTACCACTGTGCCACAAGAGCCCTGTAGAAGTGAATGTATAGTCCACAAATACAGTAAGTCAGATATTAAACTGATAAGAACTGATCTTAGCCAAAATATTTGAATAATCTCTGGATGCAACTTTGGTGACAGGAACTATTGGTTCAAATCATGTTTCAATTACTTTGAAAGTGGTTATGAGTAAACAACTGGTGATACTAGGGTCGTAAGTATTGTCACGTTGCTTTGTTTTGCTGCAAATGAGTATACAAAGCAATTATGTTCAGACTTGCAATATATGCTACTGTATGAAATAATGTGAAACAAAGAACCTGCCTTACTTCTTTACATGTTATACCAGATGTCTTCTAATTGTTATATTACCATTTCTGATTCATCCTGTTTAGAGATTTTACTGCTCCCCACTCAGAAGTCTGACTTTATTAGCCTTACCACCAATTTGTTTCATAAAACCTGTTCTTGTCTTTTTATTTCTGTCCTTACATAGCAGACAAACATGGATAAGAGACCTTTCTAACATCATTGATTTTAGGTGTATATCCCTTTAGGAAGAACATGAAGTTTGCAGAGAGGGTACAAGAGAGATTTAGTGAGATGGTATAAACACAGAAAAAGTTCAACAGATCTGGAAGTACATTTGGTGACAAATATTTTAATATTTTAGGTCAATTATCCTTTCATGGGAACTGGAAGAACTCAGTGATGTAACAGCTTTCAATAGGTGAGTACAGAGGGAGATACAGGGAGAGGATATAAAAACAAAAGGGATGGTCCGTGATGGGGTCAAAGACTGGAGACATTAAATAACAAAAGAGGTGATGATGCAAAGCAAAAGGAAGTAATGGGATAATTAAAGAACACTCCACTTTTGGAGACAGGTTATCAACCAATAGCCATTGCAAGGCCACTGACTCCCACTGCTACCTTGACTACGCTTCCTCATATGAAGCTTCCTATAAGGATGCCATTCCATTCTACATCTTTGTTGTTTTGATGATGCAATGTTCCATACCAGTGTTTCTGATATATCTTCCTTCTTAGTCAAGAACTCCCCCATTATAGTTGATAGGACCCTGAACCTTATCTGCTCGGTTTTCACATTTCTGCCCTTCTCTTTTTCTCTTGAATAATGATAGAAAATGAAAATTAGGGACTTCTACTGAACTAGACTTCACAATCAATGTATTATCTTCCACCACCTCCAACAAGAGATTGTAGCTCTTGATTTTCTCTTGAGTTTCTATTTGCACAACATAACAAGTGCTAAGACAAAAAGACATAAAAGCAGAAGTAGGCCATTTTGGCCCATTGAGTCTGCTCTCCCATTCAACGTGATCATTGCTGGTCTGATGATCCCCAACTCCATCTTCCTGCTTTATTCTCTTCTCCTGAAGAAGGGTCCAGACCCGAAATGTCAGCTTTCTTGCTTCTCTGATGCTGCCTGGCCTGCTGTGTTCCTCCAGCTCCACACCTTGTTATCTCAGACTCCAGCATCGGCAGTTCCTACTATCTCTGAACTTGAATACTAGCTTTTTGTGATTCATGAACAAGGAACCCAAATCTCTCTGCAGTCTTTCCTTATTTAATTCTTTCGGGGTGGCATGGTGGCACAGTGGTTAGCACTGCTGCCTCACAGCGCCAGGGACCTGGGTTCAATTCCACCCTCAGGTGACTGTCTGCGTGGAGTTTGCATGTTCTCCCTGTGTCTGTGTGGTTTCCTCCAGGTACTCTGGTTTCCTTCCATAGTCCAAAGATGTGCAGGCTAGGTGGATTGGCCATGCTAAATTGCCTGTAGTGTTCAGGGATTAGTAGATTAGGTGGGTTATAGGGGGCTGGGTTTGGGTGGTTGCTCTGAGGGTTGTGTGGACTTATTGGGCTAACGGGCCTGTTTCCACACTGTAGAGATTCTATGATCTATGAAATAATATTCACCTCTTACATTCTTCCTGCTAAAGTGCATATCCTCACATTTTTCCATATTATATTCCATCTGCCAAGTTTTCATCCACTCACTTAACCTCTTTATATTGCTTGATAGATTCTTTGTGTCATCCTCACTATTTACTATTCACAAATTTGGCTATACTGGGTGTCCCAATTAACGAACGTCCCACTTATGAATGTCTTCTCATATAGGGGTGTAATATTAAAGACCTGACATAAGAACATTTACTATATTTATGAATAGCTACTTTGTTGTCCCACATTGTGTTCTGACTTGCGTACAAATCAATATACGAACGGACCCTCATGAATGCAGCCCATTCATAACTTAGGGACTGCCTGTAGTACATTCACTTCTGTCATACTCATTAATATATATTGTAAATAATTGTACTGTAGCACTGCACTAATTACAGGTTGCCATATTGAAAATGCCCCCTTACGTTTGTATACAACAATGGTAATCGTGCGGTGCAACTTCACATACTGCCATTTGTGTGTGAGAGAGAGAATGAATGAGGCCCAATTGTGGAGAACAAAAAATCTTGCATTATATAGCACTTTTCACAACTACAGGATATCCCAAAGTCCTTTACAACAAATTAAATTTAGTACTGTAATTATTGTGTTGAACAAAATGTGTTATGCACAGAAATGTAATCATGTTTTATTTTGATAAATTAACATTGGCTCTTGAAAATAGACAGGGTTCATTTCTGATTCTTATTTGAAACATGGTACTTTGACAGTACAGCACTCCTTCAATACTGTACTGGAATGCTTAAGTCCTGACTTGGACTTGAGCCGTCAACTTTCCGACTGAGATTGAGGGTATTATCAAATGAACCATAGAAGAATCTGATAGGTTTTCTTGTCAACTTGATCAACAACAAACAAGCAATGAATCCCTGTGAGTACAAGAGAATTTAACTGACTTCCAAATCCCTGATACACCTCAATTCTGTCCTCCTCCAGGAAATTTTCAAGTGTAGTAAAACCAAATTTAATTGTCCCATCAGATGGTCTGTTTCCAAGGAGAGCAATCTATGGGAAAACCTTACCTATCATCTCACCTGACCGTTAGCCTATATATCACAGAAGTGTTAAGGCACAGAAGGAGGCTATTTGGCCCCATGTGCTTTTACTGGCTAAATAAATCAATATCATTACCTAGTCCCAATGTCCTGCTTCTTTCCCATACTCTTGCACAGTACTTATACCAACTATTCATCCAATGCCCTATTGGATTCCTTGATTAAACTCCCTCCACCACACTTCCAGGCAGTGCATTCCATACTCGCTGAAGAAAAACAATTTTCCTCACTTCACTCTTGCTTCTTTTGCAGATCACTTTAAGCTTATGTTCTGTTGTTCCTTGTAAGAGTTGGAACAGTTTCACCTTGTCTACTGTATCCAGTCTGCCTATGATATTGAAAAATCTCGATCAGATCTTCTGTAAGCCTTCTTTCCGATGAGAACAGTTCCAACTTCTTCAATCTATCCTCATAACTGAAATTCCTCATCTTTGGAATCATTCCTGTAAACTGCTTTTGCATTTTCTCCAATATGTTCACATCCTTCCTGTAATGTTCTGCCCAGAACTGTATACAGTATTCTAGCTAAGCATCCCACACAGTTGAATTACACAGTTGAATTTTTAAAAAATTCATTAATGGGATGAGGACATTGCTGGCTAGGCAGCATTTATTGTCCATCCCTAATTGCCCAGAGGGCAGTTAAGAGTCAACCACATTGCTGTGGGTCTGGAGTCACATGTAGGCCAGATCAGGTAGGGATGGCAGTTTCCTTCCCTAAAGGACATTAATGAACCGGATGGGTTTTCCTGACAATTGATTCATGGTCATCATTTGACTCTTAATTCCAGATATGTTTTACTGAATTCAAATTCCACCATCTGCCTTGGCAGGATTTGAACCTGGGTTCTCAGAACATTTTCCTGAGTCTCTGGATTAACAGTCCAGCAATAACACCACTAGGCCATTGCCTCCCCTTGGATATCACCTGACTGTGTCTACCTGTCCTGCTACTTTCACTTATATGTGTATATACACCCAGGTTCCTCTATTCCTGCATGCTCCTTAGAATTGTGTTCTTATTTTATATTGTCTTTCAATGTTTTTCTGACCAAGATGCATCACTTCACACTTAACTGCATTGAAACCACCTATCTGCCCACCCCACCAATTTGTCTATGTCCTTTTGAAGTTCTAGACTGTCCTTCTAACACTTTACAATTCTTCCAAATTTTACTTTATAAACTTGTGCTTCAGTCCAACAATATTTGTCACCATTTCAAATATCTGATCAAAAGCACAGTATTCAATCATTCAGTAAATTTAAAAATTTGACCGCATGCTGTGTATGTCTACGTTTGACCAATGCCAATAATTCCAAACTTATAAATATAACTGAGAGGCTCAACTGCTCTTCTGCGCTCTTTACAGAAGCTCCATAACCATTACCAGAAGTGAGGATTAGAACTGGATGCTATACAGTAACCGATAGCAAGTCAACTCAGCTCTAATGATTGTGGTTTTGTTTTCCCCATGGTCAGCATCCATTATTTGTGAACCTTTGGTGAGTTAGTGATTAACCTAATCTGTTTTCCCTGTGATGTTACTTCTAATGGGCCACCCACAAACATATCTTGAGTTTATTTACTATATGTGCATAACATGGCACTATAAGCCAGATCACAATTTATCTGAATCAGTAGTATAGAAGCAAAGTCTTAGGGATGCTAGAAATCTGAAATAAAAAACCGAAAAATGCAGAAAACACTTAGCATCTATGAAGAGAGAAACAGAACTAATATTTCAGGTTGATCACCTTTATTCAGAACTCAAAAAAGTTAGAAAAGTAATAGTCTTAAGCAAGTAAAAGGGCAGTGATCCAAGGGAGAGAAAACAAATGTTTATCGTTGTGTGGGGTACAAAAAAGGTTGGTTGTGCAATGCCAAAGGAGGTAGTAATGACAGACATTAAGGAGGAAACATGTCTACTGGAGGTCTGAATGGCAGAATAATCAACAAGTACCACCTGAAAACAACAAAAATTGAAGGTAAAACATTAAAACTGAAATTTACAGAAAAAATATAAGAGCTGACATTCTGGTCTGAAACAGTTAAACTAACAGTTGAGTACAAAAGGCTGTAAAGTGCTGAATGAAATGATGAGTGTTGTTCAAGCTTGCATTGAATTTTATTGGAACACTATAAGATGTTGAAGAATGAGAAGTCAGCATGACTAGAAATAAAAATGACTGGAAGCTGAAGCTCCAGGTCATGCTTGTGACTGAACCTCTGGGGCAGGGATGACTTGTATAAGAGGGACGGGTTGCACCTAAACTGGAGAGGAACAAATATCCTTGCAGTCCTCCTCAGGAGGGTTTAAACTAGAGTGGCAGGGGGCTGGGAACCAGAGCATTAGGTCAGCAAGTGGAGGGATTGAGGGGAAGGTACATGTTAGGACCAGTAAATCAGAAAGAAAGGACTGGCAGCGACGGGTAAATGAACACAATGGTACTAATGGCCTGAAGTGTGTTTATTTCACTGCAAGGAGTATTAAAGGTAAGGCAGTTGAGCTTATTGACTGGGACTCCCTTGGAACATGAAGCTTAGACGACACAGAATTTAAGTACGTCCAAGAGGGTTTCTTGAAACAGTATGGGTAGTCTGACTAGAGGAGGGGCTGTATTGAACCTTGGCTAATGAGCCTGGCCAGGTGACTGACTTTTCAGTGGCATTTTGGAAACAGTGATCACAACTACTTAAGTTTTAAGATAGCTATGAATAAGGATAAGTCAGGACATTGTGGCAAGGTACTAAATTGGGGGAGGGCAAATTATGTCAGTATTAGGCAGGAGCTAGGGAGTATTAATTGGGAGGAGCTGTTATCAGGCATGTTGACATTTGATGTGGGAATTGTTTAAAGACCTGTTGATGAGAATTAAGGACCAGCATGTTCCAGTAAGGAGGAAGAACAAGGATGACAAGGAAAGGGACCCTTGGATAATGGGGGACGTTATGTATTTAGTCAAAAGGGAAAAAGAAGTATATATAAGGTTTAGGAAGCTAAAATCAGACAGGGCCGAGGAATATAAAGAAAGCAGGAAAGAACTCCAGCAGGGAATTAGGAGAGCAAGAAGGGGCCATGAAATGACCTTGGCAAGTAGGGTTAAAGAGAGTCCCAAGGCATTCTATACATATATTAAAAACAAGAAAATAACTAGGGAGAAGGTAGGACCACTCAAGGATAAGGGAGGGAACTTGTGCTTGGAGGCAGGGGATGTGGGTAAGATCCTAAATGAACACTTAGTGTCAGTATTCACCCAGGAGAAGGATATGGAAGGTAGTGAGATTTGTGAGGAGCATGCTAATATGCTAGGGCATTTTGAGATCAAAAAGAAATGGTGTTGGGTCTCTTGAAGAGCATTAAAGTGGATAAGTCCCTAGGGCCCGATGTTATCTACCCCAGGTTATTGAGAAGGGCAAGAGAGGAGATTGCTGGGGCCTTGACCAAGATCTTTGTATCCTTGCTAGCTACTGGAGAGGTCCCAGAGGACTGGCAAGTAGCTAATGTTGTTCCTGTATCCAAGAAGGGGAATAGGGATAGTGCAGGAAACTATTGACCGGTGAGTCTTACACCTGTGGTTGGGAAGCTATTGGAGAGAATTCTTACAGATAGGATTTTCATGCATTTGGAAATGCACGGCCTTATTAGGGACAGTCAGCATGGCTTTATGCATGGCAGGTCATGTCTTACTAACTTGATTAAATTTTTCGAGGAGGTGACAAGGGTGATCGCTGAGGGTATAGCAGTTGATGTTGTCTACTTGGATTGTAGCAAGGCTTTCGACAAGGTGCCTCATGGTAGTCTCATCCAGAAGATTAAGATGCATGGAATCCATGGTGACTCGGTCGTGTGGATTCAGAATTGGCTTGCCCATAGAAAGCAGAGGGTAATGATGGAAAGTTGTTTTTCAGGCTAGAGACTCGTGACTAGTGATGTTCCGTAGGAATCCGTACTGAGACTCTGCTGTTTATGATATTTATAAATGACTTAGATGAAAATGTAGATGGGTGGGTTTGTAAGTTTACAGACAATACAAAGATTGGTGAAGTTGTGGATAGTGTAGAAGGTTGTCAAAGGATACAGGGGGATATAGTTGCAGATATGGGCGGAGAAATGGCAGATGGAGTTTAATCCGTGTAAGTGTGAGGTGCTGTGCTTTGGGACATCGAATGTTAAGGAAAAGTGTAGAGTGAATGGCAGGACCCTGAGAGGCATCGATGTATAGAGGGATCTTGGGGTTCAAGTCCATAGCTCCCTGAAAGTGGCCATGCAAGTAGATAGGATGGTGAATAAGGTGTACGGCATGCTTGCCTTTATTGATCGGGGAATTGAGACTCAGGATGTTATGTTGCTGCTTTATAAGACATCGGTTAGGCTATACTTAAAGAGTACTACATTCGGTTCTGGTCACCACAGGAAGGATGTGGAGGTTTTGTAGAGGATACAGAAGAGGTTTACCAGAATGCTGCCTGGATTAGAGGGCATGAACTATAAGGAGAGGCTAGAAAAACTCGGGTTGTTTTTTTCTGGAGCAGCAGAGGCTAAGAGGAGACTTGATAGAAGCCTATAAAATTATGAGTTTCATATAGAAGGTTGACGGTCAGAATCTTTTTCTCAGAGTTGAAATGTCTAAAACTGGGGTGGGGGGGCATGTATTTAAGGTGAGAGGGGCAAAGTTCAAAGGAGATGTGAGGAGCAAGTTTTTTATACAGTGAGTGGTAGGAGTGTGGAACATGCTGCCAGGGTTGGTGGTGGATGCAGATACGACAGGGTGTTTAAGAGACTTTTAGATAAGCAGATGAATATGCAGAAAATGGAAACATATGGAACAAGGGCAGGCAGAAGGGATTACTTTAACTTGGCGTCATGTTTGGCATAACATCATGAGCCTGTTCCTGTGCTGTACCATTCTATGTTCCATGAACAGAGATGATATATAAGCAATTATCCAATTTGCTTTTGGCCTTCCCAATATAGGATGGATAGCATTGTGAGCAACAATTTTTTTAAAAAATGTATTCTTTCATAGACTGTGTGCATTACTGGCAAAGATTTCATCTGTTGCCCATCTGTAATTGCCCGTGAGAAGGTGACGTAGTTGCCTTCTTGAACATTGAAGTCAGTTTGGTGTAAGTATGCCCACAGTGCTGTTAAGAAGGGAGTTCTAAGTTTTTCACCCAGTGACAGTGAAGAAACTGATACAATCAAGCGCAGGAGCATTGCTTGGAGGGGATCTTATAAGAAGTGGTGTCTGTCTGTTTGCTGTCCTTATCCTTCTATATGGTAGGGGTTAGGGGTTTGCAATGTATTGTTGAAGGTGTTTTAGCATGTTGCCGCAGTCCACTGATACCACTGTGCATTGGGTGTAAATGTTGAAAGTGGTGGATATCATAACTGATCAAAGCTGCTTTGTCCTGGGTCGTGTCAAGCTTCTTGAATGTTGGGAACTGCACTCACCCAAGCAGCTAGGGAGCATTCCATCACACTTGTGACTTGAGCCTTGTAGATGGACAGTTTGAGGATTAGGAGGTTCCCAGCCTCTTAGCTGCTCTTGTAGCCACAGTATTTATATGGCTGGTCCAGTTCCAAATCTGGCCAGTGATAAATCCCAGGATGTTAATTGTGGGAAATAGAGCAGTGGCGATGCCGCTGAATGTCAAGGGGAGTTAGTTAGATTCGCTTGTTGACAACAGCCATTGCCTGGAATTTTTATGGTCTGAATGTCACTTACATTTATCAATCCTGAATGTTGTTTAGGTCTTGTTGCATATGGACACTGAATAATTTAGTATTTGAGTTTTTGTGAATGGTACTGAACAATGTGCAATCATCAGTGAATATCTCCATTTCTGACTTTTTGAAGTGGGAAAGGTCCATGATGAAACATGGACAGCTGAAATGATGTCAGGAGCTGAGTGGCTCACATTGGTGAGCACATTATTGCAGTGTAAATGCAGCATAATATCACACCATCCATCACTTGGCAAATGATCGAGAGTAGACAGATGGAGTAGTATTTGGCTAGATTAGTTTTATAGTGGACAGGGCATAGCCTGGCAACCGTGCACATTGTCAGATTAATACCAGTGTTATAGCTATACTGGAACAGCTTAGTTAGGGACACAGGCAGTTCTGGAGCATAGATCTTCAGTATTGCAGCTGTTGCAGGATGTTGTCATGGACCAAGCCTTTCCTGCCTCCAGTCCCTTCAGCTATTTGTTGATATCTTGTGGTGAACCATAATTGGGTGGAAAAATGGCATCTGGGATGTAGGGGCCTCAGAAGAAGGCAGCAGGTGGTTGCAAGTGCTTCATTCTTGTCATTTACACTGATAGTTGGACTCCTCCATCACTGTTGAAGATACTTGTGGAGCCTCCTCCTATGGTTAGTTGCTAAATTGTCCACTGTCATTCGTGATAGAATGTGGCAGGACTGCAGAACTTAGATCTGATTTGTTGGTTGTGGAATCCCTTAAGTGTACATGTGGAATGCTGCTTTCACTGCTTAGTGTGCATGTAAGCCTATGTTGTCAATTCAACAGGTTGACAGCTAATTTTTGTCTATGCTTAGTGCTGTTTGTGATATGCTATCCTGCATTCCTCAAACATGGGTTTATTTCCTGCCTTCGTGGTAATGGTAGATTGAGGGATACGCTGGGACATTAAGGTTACAGATTATGGTTGAATACAATTCTGCTGCTGCTGCTGATGATGATGATTTCTGGTGTTTCATGGATGCCCAGTTTTGAACTGTTTGATTTTTTTTGTATCAATCCTACTTAAATGCTCATTAACTTACACAGGGCCTTTATCTCCAAAATAACTGAGTGGTAACCACTGCTACCATTACAGTCAGGTACAGAAGCATCTGTTGGGTAGATCAGTGAAGGTGAGGTTAAGTAGGTTTTTTTTTTCCATTTCTTTGGGTCATTTGCAACCTGTGACAATTTCTGGGATAGCTGTGTTCCTTCAGGACTTAGGTAGCTTGTTCAGTATTGGCGCTACCAAGTCCCTCCTGCTATGGATATTGAAGTACCTCTACTTCAAGTAAATAGTGTTCCTTTGACACCCTTAATGCTTCAACCAAATTTCATTCAGGGTATCCCCCTCTCAGCTTTCTCTGCTCCAAGGAAAAATAACCCAGTCTGTATGGTCTCTCCATCCTGGGAAACAGACTGATCAATCTCATCTGCACTTTCTCCAGTTCAGTTACATCCTTGTGGCAACCAGACTGCATAAAGTACTCCAGCTTTGGCCTAACCAACATTCTATATCGCTCCACCATAACTTCTCAACGCCTGTATTCTATGCCTCGAGGAATAAAGGGAAATATATTTTAGTTTTAAGATCTTGGCTGCCTGCTTTTGAATCAGTCCTCCACTACTTTGAATAGTCTATTCCTGGTAACTACTCGGGCCCCATACCTGCTTCACCTTCCACTCCAAGTGCACCTCCCCAGGACCCCTTACACTCCCAAGACCATGATCTGACCCAATATCCCCTCCATGTGCTGGACCCAACACCTACTCTCCCTGCTCTGTTCTGGACTCTTTTTCTAGCCCCTTCCAACATTGCATCATTTACATTACCAGGTGCACTGTACCCACCTGGCACTCTAACCCCTACCCAGCTATCATTCTACCCCTGACACCCCATTCTCTACCTACTCAACTGGCACCCTACCATCCCAGCACCCTACCCTCCATAGGAAGGTTGAGAATGGCCTTCCAGCCTGTTGTTTGATTAAAGGCCTAATGCTATCAGCAGTGGGTGTTTAGCCAGTGACAATTGGGTGTCAAGTTATCTAGGCAAAATGCCACGTAAACTTAAGCAGGCATGGCTGCATGTCATTGGCAGTCTCTCCTTATCAGGCTCCTTGCATCTACTGGATGGTCCCAATGGAGCCAAAGGCTGCCCTTGCAGCAACACATTCCTTTGCCCTTTACACTAACCCTTTACAATAACCCCAATTCCCTTCCTGACTCTCTCTCGAACAATATCCCCAGGGTCTCCCTGATTGGCCCCTACAATCCCACCCTACTTGCATGTGCTTCAAGATTCCCAGGATGATCCTCTTCCTAGGGCTTCATAATCAATCTACAATTTTCTAGTTTGTAAAATAATTTGAATTGAGAGAGGCTTTTTGCAATCCAAAACTTGTACAGCTTCTCCAGATAACCAAGTATGACTTTTGCTTACTGTTACCAACAGATTTAACAGCTGTAAAACATGATTTCAACGTCTCACAAGCACAGGAATTTTGTTTCCGAACCAATGGGGAATAAGTCAGTTTCTTCCCTGGCTGGTATTGGAAAAACACTTGGAAGAAAACTGGAAGAGCAAGGCTTTGATAAGGTAACAAACCAATAGAAGAATGCCATATACTTCTTGGAAATTAAATGTCTAAGTAATGCAGTAGGACCTAGCCTCTGTACTTGCTTAAAATTTGCTATAACTCACTCTTTGCAATTTAGATGTGAGGACTGCAGTTGCCACATTCCTGGCCCAAAACGTCACTTCATGATAAACTCCAACCCTTCCAAATTCCCACCCCAAACCTGGTCAACCTGTGGTTTTCTCCACTTTCTTAAATAGGGGATCATCCAATCCTCAACCTCCAGTACCAGCCTCCACTTGGCTGAACTTGTGTTTTTATTGAAAATATCTCCACTGGTTCCACTCACATCTTCCAAATAAAAGGTGTTGCTATGAAATTCACACTAGCTCTGACTTTGCCTTTGGTTGTGGGATACATTGAATAATCTATGCTTTAGCCTTGACTCTGCTTTCCTCATTCTTTCTCTGGCATATTAATGTATGTACCATTTAGTCTCCATCTGGAAATTCATTACGTTTACCCTAGTCCATCTCAGATTCTTTGGTTTCTGAACCTCTATCACTTCTGTGCATAGACTATTAACTAGTAACAAAAACAGAAGTTGCTGGAAAAGCTCAGCAGGTCTGGCAGCATCTGTGAAGAGAAAATCAGAGTTAAGGTTTTGGATCCGGTGACCCTTCCTCAGAACTGATGGTAGCTGGGAAAATGTCAGTTTATATGCAGAAAATAGGGAGGGAGATAGGATAGGGAGTAAATTAGAGGATAGAGCCCAAAGAGAGAGAAAAGCAGTTGGATAGACAAAGGCCAAACAATCTGGCTAGGAGGGTGAGTAATTGTTAATGGGGACTATTAGTAACCAAGAATGGGTGGTGTGTAATTGCAGGCTATGCGATAACAAGGCCTGATGTGTGTGGGGTCGTGGGGCTAGGACATGGGAGAATTTAGCCCGTAAAATTATTGAACTCAATATTGAGTCCAGAGGGCTGCAGGGTCCCCAAGTGGAAAATGAGGTGTTGTTCTTCCAGCTTGTGTTGAGCTTCGCTGGAACCTTGCAACAAGCCAGAGGCAGAGATGTTGGCCAGAGAATAGGGTGGTGTGTTAAAGTGGCAGGTAATAGGTAGCTCAGGGTCTTTTTTGCAAGCAGAACGTAGATGTTCTGTGAAGTTGTCACCCAAATTACGCTTCTTTCCCCCAATGTAGAGGAGACCACATTGTGAGCAGTGATTGTGGTCTAGATTCTGGGAAGTGCAGGTAAAGTGCTGCTTCACCTTGGATACCGGGGAGGGAGGAGGTAAATGGGCAGGTGTTGCACCTTCGCTTGTTGCAGGGGCAGGTGCCGTGGGTTTGTGGGGGCTGTTGGGGGTGAAGGAGGAGTGGACCAGGGTGTCCCAGAGGGAACAGTCCCTACAAAAACGGACAAGAGAGGGGAGGGCAATGTGTGTCTGGTGGTGGCATCTTGCTAGAGGTGGCAGAAATGGCATCTGATGACCTGATGGTCAGACCCGGTTGAGGGCCCTGTTGACAATGGCGCTGGGGAATCCTCGGTTGAGGAAGGAGATGGACATTTCAGAGGCTCCCTTGTCAAAGTTGGCCTCATCTGAACATACGTGACGGAGACAGAGGAACTGAGAGAATGGGATGGAGTCTTTACAGGGTGGGAGGATGTGTAGTCCAGGTAGCTGTGAGAGTCAGTGGGTTTATAATGGATAGTAGTGGCCAGTCTATCCCCAGAAATGGAAACATAGATGTCGTCAAGGAAGGGAAGGGAAGGGAGGAGTCAGAGATAGACCAGATGAAAGTGAGAGCAGGGTGGAAATTGGAATCAAAATCAATGAACTTTTCCAATTCCGGACAAGAGAGGGAAGCAGCACTGATGATATATCGGCTGGAACAGGACTGGAACAAGGAATGTTCCATGTACCCCATAAAGAGACAGGCATAACTGGGGCCCATGCGGGTACCCATGACCACCCCTCTGACCTGAAGAAAATGAGAGGTATTAAAAGAGAAGTTGTTGAGGGTGAGAACGAGCTCGTCCAAGCGGAGGAGGGTGCTCGTGGGTGGAGACGGTTCAGGTCTTTGCTCCAGGGAGAAGTGGAGAGCCCTAAGACCCTCATGGTGGGGAATGGACATGTATTGGGATTGCACATCCATGGTAAAGAGGAGGCGACTAGAACCTGCAAACTGGAACTTTTGAAACTGGCGTAAGGCATCAGAGAAATCATGGATGTATGTGGGCAAGGATTGGACCAGTGGAGAGAAGACTGAGTCAGGGTAGGAAGAGATGAGTTCTATGGGGCAGGAGCAGGAGCAGGCTGAAACAATGGGTCTGCCCGCACAGTCCTTTTTGTAGATTTTAGGAAGGAGGTAGAAGTGATCTATGTGGGGCAGGGGGACTATCAGATTGGAAGCAGTGGGAATGAGGTCACCAGATGAAATGAGATCAGTTACCGTGGTAGATACAATGACCACAATCTCCCACTATTAACCAGTGTTCTTTGCAAGTGTACTGATTCCCATACTCCCTGTAAGAACACTATTTCATACACTCTCTTTTGTTTCGTCTCCACTGGTTCTATTCTTACAAAGCTACCCCCAGCACCAATGTTTCTTTAGCCAAGAACTTCCCTCTTCTCTGGGTGGCAGGGCATTCAACCATATCTGTCACACTAATCCACACTTTTTCCCTCAACTCTTCCCCATCTTCCCAGAATCAACCTTCCATCCCACATTCATTAGATTATTGTATGCTCTTTCTGTCACCACTAGCATGGTACAATAACCAAATAATTTTCCTGACCTTTCAAAATTTGGAATTGATCCCCTTACTTGACCCACTCTTCCATCACTGAACATTAATATTCTTTCTAATGGAACACATGTCCTTTTAGTTCCTCTTTTACCAGAGTACAGAGCCGCAAACCCTACTTCCAGGTGAAACAGTGATTTACTTGAAATATTTTCAATTTTGTATATTCTGTTCACTGGTCAATATGCATTTTTCTCTACACTGGAGAGACCAAGTGAAAATTGGATAATAGACTGAAGAAGGTTATTCTGCAAAACTGCTGGAATGACCCCAGACTCCGTTATTGAACAAAACGTAATGATCAAAGACTGGGTCAAAGAGATAGATTATCTTAATAGAAGAAAAGAGAGACAAAGAAGTTTTAGGGAGGAAATGCCAAAATTTTAGGCTAAATGTACAGTTACAGGAGCAATTAAGAGAGAGAATAGTCAAAATGTCAGACTTGGAGAGGCTCACAAATCTCAAAGGGCTATGGGACAGGAAAGACTTGCATCATTTCACATATTATTGGAGACAGCGCCAGGAACACGCAACTGACTCACTCCCAAGAGACAGGTTAGTCATTTAGAAAGTATGAGGATGTATGCTTTAGAAGTTTCATTTTAAACTTTAACCTTAGCAGCTTAAAAGGTAGGCGAGAACAATTGGGTCCAGTAGGCAACCATCTTTCCACTCATTGGATTGATTTGGCTACCCTGCATCCATTCCCAAAAGGCTATCATCTTATTCTTGCCTCAGAGCTCTTTTCTCCAGAAAAGTGAAGATTGATTATAGTGATTTAAAATTACGTGAGAGTTTATACATAGAGAAAGGTTAAGATACGGTAGACATAGAGAAAATGTTTTTACTTGCAAGAGCAAAATGTGGGACAAGAAATATAAGTTATGAACAAATTAGGTTGTGAATTCAGGGGAAACCTCTTTACCCAGAGTGGCTAATATGGAACTTGGAAGCACAAGGAATAGTAAACTGAATAGCATTGATTCATTTAAAGATAGGATGAGGATTGGGACATATAAAGATAGGTGGAAGGAGCTTTGTGAGCACCAACACTGTCATATTCCTGTTGGGCTTGTTTCTGTGCTGAATATGCACAAAACCTTTCTGGAAAGGCAACTTCATGATGACAGTGTTAATCAATTACTGCTACTGCAGATTGCATAAGCGTTGGTATTTGTTTTCGTTTTTCACACAGACCCCAAGTCCTCTATAAATCAAACATTAATGTGCTTACTGAAAGAAATTTACAAATTTTTCTCTTGTTTTAGGCATACATATTATTAGGCCAATTCCTTGTTTTGAAAAAGGATGATGAATTGTTTAAAGATTGGTTGAAAGACATCTGTGGGGCCAACACCAAACAAGCTGGACAGTGTGCCATCTGTTTACAAGAATGGTGTAATGCCTTCCTGTAACTAACATTTTTAATCGAAAGCATCCAGCTTAATCAGTCTGTCTTAAATAAGTGTTGCAGACTAACATACATTTTCCCATACTTGCCTAAACACGTGAAGCTTATCTTAAATGTATGCAAATTTCACAACTTAAAATCCAGTTGAAAATAATTGTTTTATAGTCTAATCGATTTTACTTGTAATAATCCTCTGATACAGACTGCAATAAATGGTTATGATCAAACTTAATGTGTTCCCTCACTTTTATGAGAAGGCAAAAAGTCTAGTGCTAAAGAAAGCACAAAACTAGTAATGTTTAACAAAAATCAAAGGAAAAATTAGATATTAAATGAACGTTTGTTTTATAATGTAAAGTATTGACTTTTGAGCACCATTAATGTATTTTAAAGGTTTACAGACAGAATTCTTACTCCACAAGAAGCTGATACAAGAAGGGTTTAAATTGCTTTGAATTTCATCCTAACATGCATCTAACATTAAGGTTTTCCAAATCATTGGTTTATAAATGAGTCCACAGAGCCAAGATTGTTATAATGATTTGAGTTTGTCTAAATATGCATGCATCATATTCAAGAGTTCTGCACTCTCCACTCTTGCTGATATAGCACATTACCATCTGTTCATGTTTACCAATTAAAAGGAATTTCTTGCAATAATTGTATTGTGTTTGTTAAATTAGAGTACTGAATCTCTAGGTCAGTGTTTGCTTAGGTGATCTGGAATAAATCCTCAAAAATTGTCAATGGTTGCATCGACACCATGTTGAATTGTTATTATATATATTTTACTCGTAGGATGTAGACATCACTGAAAACACCAGCATTTGTTGTTCATCCCTAATTGCCATGGAGTTAAAATAGTTCGGTAAGCCCTGCCACAGTCTTTTGCTTCCTATGTGAATAATCCAACAAGGTCACTGTCTGGACTTCATCCTGTTACAAGCACTAACTAAATTGAATGCTGGACTGAAGAAAGTCATTTCGGTGATTTTATATAAATGTATCAGTCCACAGTCTTAGTAGTAATAGAAAGTAAATAAAAGGGAAAAGTAATGTTTCTACCCACTTGAAGTCCAATAATTCCACCTGTTAGAAGTGGCCTTAAAACATTTGATTATTAAAATCAAACATTTTACAATGTTATATGATTCTCTGTCACAAAAGTTCAGACATTTGTTCTCAGCCACTTTCATCTCTTGAAAGGAACAAATTTATAAGGATATTACAGAATTGGAACAATTTGAGAGTAATTATAGTGGGGGTGTGGAGATAAAAATCTCAACATTTAGTAGAGATTGATCATTTGTACCTCAAGGCTTAGGTTGGATTTGGAAGGAAGGGTAAATAGCAATCCAGAGCAAGAATAATTAAATGGGGAAAAGCCAACTTTAATGGGGTAAGAACAGATCTGGTTCAGATAAACTGGAATCAAAAATTAGCAGGCAAATTTATAACTGAACAAAGAAAGAGCTTTAAAGGTGAAGTAGGAATATAGCTTGACTACACTTGAACTATCAGGAGAAAAGGTAGGACAAACAAATAGTGTCTGGCGTGATGAGAGATAGAAATTAAAGGAAAGATGTCAGGTGGATAATACAAGCGAGATAAAGATTCAGTAGGGAACTGAAAAAAACCAACAAGAGAATCACAAAGCGTAGGAGGAAAAAAAAGAGCAGGTAACAAAGGGAATCCAAAGTCTTCAATAGGCATATAGAAGTGGGGATTAAGGGGATTTAATGCATGGAGACATGGGGCATGACTGAGGTACTAAATTAATACTTTGCTTATGTCTTTCCCAAAGTTGTTGTTGTTCAGGGCATGGTGAAAGAGGAAGTAGTTGGAAGAGTATAAAACTTAAATACATGGTTTTGCATAGGTGTCTATTTTTAAAGTTGATTTTCCAATCTTCCTTATACTAAGAGGTAGCACCAGATGACTACAAAATTGCAAATATTACATTCTTTTCTGATTAAGGTAGTTAAGAGAACCCCAGGAACTGTAGGCTAGTTGGTTTAACTTTGCTAAATAAAAACAAAGAACTGCAGATGCTGTAAATCAGAAACAAAAGCAGAAATTGCTGGAAAAGCTCCAAGTCTGGCAGCATCTGTGGTGAGAAATCAGAGTTAATGTTTTGGGGCCGGTGACCCTTCCTCAGAACTGATGGTAGCTGGGAAAGTGTTGGTTAGTGTGCAGAAGAAAGGGTGGGGGGAGAAGAGGGGATGAGGAGTAAATGATAGTTGGGAATAGAATCCAAAGAGAGAGAAGAACACGGTTGTTGACTTGCTTGGCGAACTGGTAAGTTTGTTTGCAAACGTTTTGACACCATACTAGGTAACATCATCAGTGCGCCTCCGGTGAAACATCGGCGTTCTGTCCCAGTTGCTATTTATGTGTGTTGGTTTGTTGGGGTGGGTGGCATCACATCCAGATTTGTTTCTTAGTGGATGGTATATGGAGTCCAGCTCTACAGGTTTGTTAATGGAGTTCTGGTTTGAGTGCCAGGACTTCAGGGATTCTCATGTGTGTCTTTGGTTGGCTTGTACTAGAATGGCTACACTGTCCCAGTCGAATTGATGTCCCTCTTTGTCCATGTATATTGAAATGAGTGAGTTGTTCACGTCCCTTTATAGCTGGTTGGTGTTCATGAATCCTGATGGCTAGTATTCTTTCTAGTTTGCTCTGTGTAATGTTTTTGGCAGTCTTTGCATAGTATCTTGTAAATAACATTGGTTCTGTTAGTTGTGGTTGTGGTTATCGGATCCTTTACTCTCATCAGTAGCTGCCGGTTTGTGGGCTACCATGATTTCTCGGGGGCACACTAATTCGGTGGTCATTTCAGATATGTCTTAAACGTATGGTAGGGAGACTAGTATCTCTGGACATGTTGTGCTCCGTTGTCAGCACGATAGGTGTTGGCGACTAGGCTTTTCAGGTAACCGTTGTTTCTAAAGACGTATAGGTGTTCTTCCTTAGTTTTGTAGAGCATTGCGGCTCACTTCAATAGTGTTTTGATACAGCTCCGTTTGTGGATATTGGGATTATTGCTGTTGCATCTGAGTAGCTGATCCATATGGGTGGCCTTCCAGTGTATGCTGGTCTAGAGCTCACAGTTGGCCTTACATTCTCCTCTTCCCTGGTGAATTTTATGCCGTTGAGGATGATGTTTGAGTAGATGGGTTTCCTCCAGTTTAGAGCGTTTGAGAATGACAGAGGTGTCATCTATGTAGCAGATCCGTAGTTTTGGTTGGATAGTGGGAAGGGCTGTCCATTCTAGTCTTTGCATTACAGCTTCTGCAGTTCATCCTGATATCGGTGATCACATGGGTGTTCTGTTGATTTGTCCATAAACCTTGCCACTGCATATACACATCAACAACCCGAGCTACAAATCATTTTAAAAACCTTGGAGAGAAGAACAGTTGGGCAGACAAAGGAGTAGATAACGATTTGGCTAGGAGGGTGAATTGTTATTAATAGGGACTGTTAGTGGCTAACAAGGGATGGTATGTAATAGCAGACTATGTAATACCATGGCCTGATGTATGGGGGTAGGGGCAAAGACATGGCAAACTTCAAGCCCTAAAGTTATTGAACTTGATAGAGTCCAGAAGCCTGCAAGGTTCCCAAGTGGAAAATAAGGTGTGGTTGTAGCTTGCACTAAACTTCACTGCAGCAAGCCCGAGACAGATATTGGCCAGGGTACAGGGTGGTGTGTTGAAGTGGTAGGCAACTAGAAGCTCAGGGTCTTTTTTGCAGGCAGAACATAGGTGCTCTGTGAAGCGGTCACCCAGTCTACGCTTTGTTTCCCCAATGTAGAGGAGGCCACATTGTGAGCAGCGAATACAGTAGACTAGATTGTGTGAAGTACAGGTAAAGCGCTGCTTCATGCTATGCTTGGGCCCTTGGATATTGAGGGAGGAGGTAAATAAGCAGGTGTTATACCTTCTGCGGTTGTCGGGGAAGGTGGCATGGGGCTGTGGGGGGGTGTTGGCTGTGAAGGAAGAGTGGACCAGGATGTCCTGGAGGGAACAGTACCTGCAGAAGGTGGACAAGGGAGGAGAAAGAAAAAAAAGTGTCTGTTGGCGGCATCGCGCTGGAAGTGACAGAAATGGCAGTTAATGATCCTCTGGATGTGGATGCTGGTGGGATGGTAGGTAAGGATAAGGGGAACTGTTGAGAAGGGAAGAGGGGTGAGGACTGAAATTCAGGAGGTAGGTTGGACCCGGTTGAGGGCCCTGTCAACCACGGTCCTGGGGAATGCTCAGTTTAGAAAGGTGGACACTTCAGAGGCTCCCTTGTCAAAGTTGGCATCATCGGAACAGATGCGACAGAGGAGGAGGAACTGGGAGAATGGAATAGACCCTTTACAGGAAGTAGGGTGTTAGAATGTATAGTCAAGGTAACTGTGAGAGTTGGTGGGTTTATAGTGGATATTGATGGCCAGCCTATCTGCAGAAATGGAAACAGATGTCAAAGAAGGGAAGGGAGGAGTCGGAGATGGACCAGGTGAAAACGAGGGTGGGTGGAAATTGATAAACCTTTCCAATTCTGGAGAGAGGGAAGCAGCACCGATGATATATCAGAGAAAAAGTTGTGGGTCAGGGCTCGAACAAGGAATATTCCACTTACCTCACAAAGAGGCATAACATGCCCCTGTGGGTATCCATAGCCACCCCTCTGACCTGAAAGAAATGAACGTTAAAAGAGAAGTCGACCATGGTGAGGATGAGCTCGGCCAAGCGGAGGGGGGTGGTGGTGGTGGTAGTTGGGGATGGTTCAGGTCTTTGTTCCAGGAAGAAGTGTAGAGCCCCGAGACTATGCTAGTGGGGGATACATGTGTAATGAGACTCAACATCCATGGTACAGAGGAGGCAGGTGCAGCCCGCAAACTGAAAATGACAAAACTAGCAGAAAGTGTCAGAGGAATCTCAAATGTAAGTGGGCAGGGACTGGACCGGGGAAAAAAGGTTGAGTCGAGATAGGAAGAGATGGGATTTGCGGGGCAGGAGTAGGCAGAAACAATTGGTCCAGGAGGGAGAGAGATGTATCAGAAATGGTCTAGGTGAACTTAAGGTTGGGGTGGAAGGTGTTAGTAAAGTGGATGAACTGTTCGAGCTCCTTGTGGGAGCACGAGGCGGCGCCGAATCAGTCATCGATGTATCGGAGGAAGAGGTGGGGGGTGTTGCCAGTGTAGCTGCGGAAGAGGGACTGTTCCACATATCTACAAAGAGGCAGGCATAGCTTGGGCCCATGTGGGTACCCATGGCCACCCCTTTCGTCTGTAGGAAGTGGAAGGAGTTGAAGGAGAAGTTGTTAAGGGTAAGGACGAGTTCGGTTAGGCGGATAAGGGTGTCGGTGGAGGGGGACTGGTCGAGCCTGCGGGAGAGGAAGAAGTGGAGGGCTTTTAGGCTATCTGCATGGGGAATGCAGGTATACAGGGATTGGACGTCAGTGAAGATGAGGTGTTGAGGGCCAGGGAATCGGAAGTTTTGGAGGAGGTGGAGGGCGTGAGTGGTGTCCCGGACAAAGATGGGGAGTTCCTGGACCAGAGGGGAGAAAATGGAGTCGAGATAAGTTCGGTGGGGCAGGAGCAGGCAGAGACAATGGGTCGACCAGGGCAGTCGGGTTTATGGATTTTAGGAAGGAGATAGAAACAGGCAGTGCGGGATTGGGGAATGATGCGGCTGTGGGTGGGAGGTCACCTGAGGTGATGAGATTATGGATGGTCTGGGAGTTGATGTTTTGGTGGTCGGGGTGGGGTCATGATCAAGGGGGCGGTAGGTGGTGGTGTCAGAGAGTTGGCGCCTGGCCATTAAACAGATGTTCACCTGCACATCCGCTAATGTGGTCTATTGCATTGCTATTCCCGATGTGGCCTCCCGACGTAGAAGAGACCAAACGGAGGCTTGGAGACTGCTTTGCGGAGCACCTACACTCGGATCGTGACAAACGACAACACCTCCCAGTCGCGAACCACTTCAACTCCCCCTCCCACTACATGGATGACACGTCCATCCTGGGCCGCCTCCAGTGTCACAATGATGCCACCGGAAAATGGAGCAACAGCACCTCATATTCCGCCTTGGAACCCTACAACCCAATGGTTTCAATATGGACTTTACAAGCTTCAAAATCTCCTCACCCCTGACCTCATCCCAAGACCAGCAACCCACCCCGTTCCCCACCTCCTTAACCTGTCCATCTTCCCTCCCACCTACCCACCCCTCCCTCCTCACTGACTAACCCCCATCCCAGCTCCCTACCTACACTTACCTTTACTAGCTTCATCCCTGCCTCCTTGACCTGTCCATCTTTTCTCCACCTATCTGCTCCACTATCCACCTTCTATCACCGCCTCCGCCTCTCTATTTCAGAGCCCCCTTCCCCTCCCCCATTTCTGAAGGAGGGTCCAGACCCGAAATGTCAGCCTCTCTGCTGCTTGGCCTCGTGTTCATCCAGCCCTGCACCTTGTTGTCTCGGATTCTCCAGCATCTGCAGTTCCTACTATCCCTTGTTGTCTCATGAAAATTTAGGGTCTAGGCTATCTTAATATATTTTGAGTTAAGTCTGGTTCATAATGTAATAAAGAGGCAGAGACTAGTGGTAACCAGAACTCTGCTCAAACTCTTCTTCCATTCTCTCAATAATGGTGATCTTTAGCCAATGGAAACCGTCAGTTTTGTCATTCAGTGACTATAGGCAGTGTGCTGAATCAACATTGATAGTGATGTCTAACAGACCATAAGAAATAGGGGCAGAATTAGGCCATTTGGCCATTGGAGCCTGCTTCGCCATTCGATCATAGCCGATATGTTTCTCAACCCCACTCTCCTGCCAACTTCTATTCACATGTTGTGAAGTAGCAATAGTCAACTCTGTATTTTCCACAAAAAAAGTTTTACTTTCATGGCTTGGAAAAGGAATCATGAAAAGTTGCAAAATTTTGTTCTGTGGAAATCAGTCTTTGGTTATGGGTCAGCTTGCAAGTATAGATCCCCCAATATATGAACATTATTTCTTACATTGATTGACTAATCAAGAACATTCTCTTCACCCATTGTTGGAATTGAGAGAAAAGTAACTGCCAATATGTTGGCCAGTTGCATGAATTAGTAAGCTTTTGACGCATTAAATACTATTTCTATACCACAACATTACATTTGAATAGTATAACAATCTGAAAAGCCCAGATCCACATCTGAAGATTGCTCACTCCCCAACTAAGAGGAGCAACATTTTATACATGGCCATAAATTCAATCTGATTGAATTGTTTTCTAACATAAACACAAGATAATTTTTCACATTAATTTTTCTGAAGAGAATCAATATAATGGAACGTGGCTCCCAGGGCCCAACTGCTTTCAACACCATTGATCTTCCTGGCAAGCTGTAACGACAGCCACAAATAATTTCAGATTAGACACTGCCTATGAATTATAACAGGAATAGTAAAAGCTTGTTAAATTTATGAGGTCGTTTAAAGTTACCTTCAAAATTGCATCTTTGTGAAAACCAAGTTCTTCTAGCAATACTGTTATGTACACAAGATCCATGCAAAGGAATGGTTTATCTGTTGATTCAGATTCCATACTTTGACATACTAAATCAAAACAAAAATTGATTTTTAATTATATAGAACTGTCTGAAAATGACTGATGATAAACAGTTGGCTCATACACTTATCAACTTTCAGGATAACTGGCAAACAAGTTCAAAAGTTCATGCAAATAATAGTATTTCATGACAATATAAAGGAGGTACATCTGAACAAAATTTAAAATATCCTGCTCATAATAGCTGTAACAGGATTCATGGTATGAATGTATCATAAGAGATGAAAAATATTCTTAACGGCTGTAAATAATTAATGCACAAAAGTGAATTATATAGATTGAATAATTCACCAAAGCTTTTTGCTTTTGCTACTTACAAATTAAAATTGTGGCCAAATTTCTGCTGCTGCTTCCCCTCTGGTCATCTTAAGTCATTCACTATCTCTAATATTCGAAGAAAAAAATTGAACTTCTCACTTCTCCCCTCCTGTTATCAATTTCTTGTCCATCTGTATGCTAGATGCTGCATGATTATGAGCATGTAAGCCATTGTGGAAAAAGTTGTTGCATTATTCAACAATGGAAAATATTGCAGTGTAGCCCAAACATTTCCTCAACAAATATATTTCATGCAGGAAAGCTCAGTAACAAAGGATGACAAGTTCGTTTGGACCTGTGAGCCTGCATTTTAAATGGCTGTGGAAATAATGGATGCACTAGTTTTAATCTAACATTCCAAGATTCTGGAGAGGCGCCAAGGATTGAAAACTGTAAATGAAATATCTCTACTCAAGAAGTGAGGGAAACAGAATGCCGGAAACTATAGGCCAGTTAACCTAATATCTCTCATTAGCAAGATGCTAGAATTCATTATTAAGGAACATTTAAAAATAATCATAACACAATCAGTCAATATCAATATGGTTTTGTGAAAGGGAAATCATGTTTGACAAGATTAAAAATACTTGAAAAATGTAACAAGCAGTGCAGATGAGGGGAACCAGTAGATGTAGTGTATTTGGATTTTTGAAACATCTGATAAGGTGCAAAGGTTACTTTATTGGCATTGGGGGTAGCATATTAGTATGGAGAGAGGATTGGCTAACAGGAAATAAAGTCAGGATAAATGGGTCATTTTCAGGAGAACTGTAATTAGTAAAGTGTCACAGAGATCAGTACTGGGTTTCAACTACTTACTGCCTGTATTAATGATGTGAATGAAGGGGCCAACTGTACTGCAGAACCATTTCAGATAATACAAACATAGAAACATTGAATATTGATGCAGGAGTAGGCCAGGTGGTCCTTCAAGCCTGATCTGCCATTCAATATGGCTGATCATCCAACTCAGTATACTGTTCCCATTTCTCTCCATATCCTTTGATCCCTTTAGTCCTTAAAACTTAATCTACATCTTTCTGGAAAGTCTTCAATGTTTTGGCCTCGGTCTCCTATGGCAAAGAATTCCACAAGCTCATTACTTTCCGAGTAAAAAAATTTCTCATCTATCCTAAATGGCCCCTGGTTCTGACTCCCTTGTCATCCTTGCTGCATCTACCTTGTCCAATCCTGTTAGAATTTTATACGTCCAGTGTCTGCGTGGGTTTCCTCTGGGTGCTCTCGTTTCCTCCCACAGTCCAAAGATGTGCAGCCGAGGTGGACTGGCCATGCTAAACTGCCCAGTATTCAGGGATGTGCAGATTATATTCCCCCCTCCCCCATGACTGATGCACAAGGACACCCAGGTCTCATTGCACCACTCCCTTCCCCAATTTACTGGCATTCAGATAATAATTTGCCTGCCTATTTTTGCTACTAAAGTGCATAACCTTACATTTATCCACATTGTACTGCATCTGCCATGTATTTACTGATTTACTTAAATTTGTTCAAATTGCACCAAAGGAGTGTCTGCATCCCCTTCACAGTATACCCTCCACTCAACTTTATCTCTTCTTCAAACCTGGAGATATTCATCATTTAAATCATTAACAATATATTGTGAAAAGATTAAATATATATTGTGAAAGGCCGAGTTCCAAAAAACAAAAATGATCGTTGTGGGACCCCACTATCCACTGCCTGTTGCATGGAAAAAGACCCTTAATTCCTATTCTTTGTTTCCTATCAACCAAACAGTTCTTAATCCATTTCAGTACACGACTTCCAAACCCATGCACTTTAATTTTGCTAATCTTGTGTGGGACTTTATCAAAAGCCTTCTGAAAGTCCAAGTAAATCACATCGACTAACTCCTTATCCACCCTACTAGTTACATTCTCAAAAAAAATTTCAGATTAATGCAGCACAACTACCCCTTCGTAAATCCATGTTGGCTCTGTTCAATTTTAATCAATATCTTCCAAGTGCTCTGTTATTACATTTTTTACCATGCATCCTAGCATTCTTCCCACTACCGAAGTCAAACTGATCTATAATTTGCTGTTTTCACTTTGCCTCCCTTCTTCAATAGTGGGGTTACGTTAACTACCCACCAATCCACAGGAACTGTTCCAAAGTTTAGAAGATGACCACTACAGTATCTGCTATTTCTAGGGACACTTCTTTAAGTACTCTGGAATGAAGATTATCAGGCCCTGGAGATTTATCTGCCTGGAAGCTGATTAGTTTCCCCAATAATGTTTCCCTACAAGTAATAATATTTTAGATTCCTCCTTCCCATTCAACCACGTTACCCCATATTTTTGGGATTTATTTGTGTCTTCCTTTGTGAAGACAGAATTAAATTATATATTCAATCAGTCTGCTATCTGCTTGTTCCCCATTATAAAGCCCATTTCTGATTGTAGGTGATCTGCTTCATCTTTACTAATCTTCTTCTCCTCGCATATCCATAGAAGCTTTTACTGTTCCCTTCAAGCTCCCCCTCCTGCCCACCCACCCGTGTCTCTTTGTCTCCCTTTGCTGGAATCTAAACTGTACCCAATCCTCAGGTCTGTTGCTTTTAATGGCAAATTTATATGCCTTTTCCTTACTATTCTGTTTCTAATTTCCTGTTAGCCATGGTCTGATAGTCTGTTTCCAGTTTTACTTTTCTGCCAGACGGAATGAATAACTTTTGCAGTTCATCCATATGCTCTTTAAATATTTGCCATTGTTATTTGAAAGGATGACGATAGGTAATCTCCAATATAACACAGCCCATTTGCATCTCATACCGTCAGAATTTCCTTTATTTAAATTCAGGACTCTAGTCTCAGAAACAAGGAAAGCAAGTCGTGAAGAGGATACAAAGTCTGCAAACGGGACTTAGACAAGTCAAGCAAGAGGGCTACATTTTGGCAGATGAAGAATAATGTGGGAAACCATGACCTTGTCAACTTTAGCATTTGAAATAGAAAAGCAGTATTTTGTTTTAATGGAGAGAGACAAAGTACAGAGGGATTGGATGCTGACACACACAAATGACAAAAAGTTAGCAACGTTGTTGACTTGCTCGCAGAGCTGGCTTGTTCTCGTTCAGATGTTTCATCACCATGCTAGGTATCATCATCAGTGAGGCCTGCAATGAAGCAATGCTGTTCTACTCCTGTTGGAAATTATACTGTCCAGTCCGTTATGGTGAGTTGGGCCCTTTCCGGTTTTGTTCTGTATGGGTTTGTAAATGGGGTCCAATTCTATAGGTTTGTTGATTGCATTATGGGTTGAGAACCGTGCCTCTAGGGATTCCCGTGCGTGTCTATGTTTGGCTTGGATTACTATAGTTACGTTGTCCCATATGGCCTTCATTGTGCGAGTGTACTGATGAGGGAAAGTTTGTAGTGTTATTTTGCTGCTAGCTGATGTTCATGTATTCTGATAGCTAGTTTCCTTCCTGTCTGTCCGACGTAATGCTTGTGGCAGTCGTTGCATGGTATTTTGTAAACAACGTTGGTTCTGCATGTTTTGGGAACAGGGTCTTTAATCCTTGTGAGTATTTGTTGTAGCATGTTTTGGGCTTGGGTGCTACCATGATTCCTAGTGGTCGTAGGAATCTCGTTGTCAGTTCTGATATGTTCTTGATGTAGGGCAGTGTAGCCAGTGTTGTAGGGCATACCGTATCCTCTTGTCTATTTAGTAGGCACCTGCAGATGAAGTTGCGGGGATATCCGTTCATAGCAAAGATTTTTGTATGAGCCCTCCCTCTTTCTTGCATTCTGGCGTGTTGCAGTGAGTAATGACTCATTTAAATAGTGTCCTAACACAGCTTGGTTTCTGGGCATTGGGGTGGTTTGGACATTGGGCTAGCCATCAGAACACACGAACATCAGCTAGCAGCATGACAAACTTTCCTTAATATCAGTACGTTCAGACAATGAAGGCCATCAATTTAACTGGGACAACATAAACATTGTAACCCAAGCCAAACATAGACATGCACAGGAATTCCTGGAGGCATGGTTCCCATCCATAATGTAATCAACAAACATATAGAATTGGACCCCATATACAAACCCATACAGAATAAAACCAGAAATGACAACTCACCATAATGAATATGACAGTATAAATTCAAAGAGTAGAAGAACAACAAGTCTTCTTCGCAGGCTTCACTGATAACGTTATCTAGCATGGTGACGAAACATCTGAACAAAAACAAGCCAGCTTGGCGAGCAAGTCAACAACCTCGGCCACAACCTGAGCTACAAATCTTTGCTAACTTTTTGTTTAAGGCTTTTACATTCAGGCTTTTACAGCAAGTAATTAGACAGGCAAATGGAATGTTAGCCTTTATTGTAAGGAGCGTTGGATAGTAGTCTTGCTGTAACTATACATTGGCATTAGTGAGACCAGATCTGGAGTAGTGCACACATTTTTGATCTCCTTCTTTAGGGGAGGGATATACTTGCAATTGAGACAATTCAGAGAAGGTTCACCAGGTTATTTCTGAGTTGAAGTGGTTACCTTCTGAGGAAAAGTCGAGGAGGTTGGGCCCTCACCCACTGAAGTTGAGAAGAATGAGAGGTGACATTATTGCAATAAGATTCCGAGGTGGCTTCACAGTCTAGATGTTAAAAGTACATCTTTCTTTGTGGGTAATCTAGAACTAAGGAGCACTGTTTAAGAGTGGGTCTTAAGGAAGAACGGTTATTGTCATTAGAATTTCCTTCCAAAGACAGCACAGGGAGTTGGATGTTTGAACAAATTCAAGGGCGAAATTTATACAGCTATCCAATCTGTAAGTGAGTCAAAGGGTTATGGGTAGGCAAGCAAGAAGGTGGAGTTAAGACCACAATCAGATCAGCCATAAAATATAGGAACCATTAAGCCCAGAGTCTGCTCCACCATTCGATCATGGCTGATACGTTTCTCAACCCCAGTCTCCTGCCTACTCCCCATAACCCTTGATCCCCTTACTAAATCAAGAATGTATTTTCGTCTTAAATACATTCAACGACTTGGTCTCCACAGCCTTCTGCAGCAATGAGTTCCACAGATTTACCACTCTCTGGCTGAAGAAATTCCTCCTCATCTCAGTCTTAAAGAGTCATCCCTTCTCTGAGGTATGCCCTTGGGTCCTAGTCTCTCCTACTAATAGAAACATCTTCTCCATGTCCACTTTATCCAGGCCTTACAGTATTTTGTAAGTTTCAATAAGACTGCTACTGAGACCAAATATTTCAATTCAGATCAGATATCAAAAATTGGGCCTTCCTAATTGTGACAGTTAACATATAAGCTTAATGAATTGAGAGAATCATTAAGACATAGATGAACTTATGCTATATTATAGGCATATTAAAAACAGATACAAAAATATTTGTAGCAACTCAGGAAGTACAATAACAGGAGAAATGCATTCATGATTTATCTATGTTGACGACGCTCCCTTCCCTCCAAATGTAATTAAAATTGAAACTACAAACAATGTAGATCCATAAATCTAGTTTTGTTCCTGGATGAGCGAATCCTTTTGGATGATAAACTACTAACCAAGAACAATGCCAGGTATATAACAGCATAATGTGAAACTTTAACTTTCTTATTGTTCAGGGTTCATTTAGACACAGTAACTCAGATTAAGTTATTCTAGTGCCTATCCAAAATCATGCAATGTACCAAAACACTATTTTCATCCTGCAAATAAGTGAATAATGTATTGCCTCATTAGAACAAAAGCACATTCTTGAAGGGTCAAAATTTATCTTAGCATCACCTGCAAATTAGTCCTTCCACATGAGAAAGGACTTTAACAGGATAATTTAAAAATCCCAAACCACTTCAGATCACCTCCAAAAGCCAAAAAGGTAACCAACCACAATGGGGATGAAGGCATAAAACCAGGTATTCCATATGATGATACTTATTCAATAAGTAATACCCTACATTTCTAATAAAGTTCATTGCTTGGGATTCCAAATGCAAGGAAAAATCTTAGCAATATCAATTCCTTGCATTCAAATAGTTTATGCCACCAGTAGAAATGAGTAAGCAAGGGAGTGCAGAAGTTCACCTTTATTGATGTGCTAGTGCACTACTTTATTGCATTTAGAATATGCATTTTAACAACATCAATTCTGTATATAATTGTCCTTGGAAAAGTAATTTACTGAAGTCCAGCTGGATAATTAAAACACTTCAAGTTCAAGGATACATGTGGTTTAGGTCTTTACAACATTACTAGACAAATTCATGCTGCTAACTACTTTTGTGCGATTCTTACCACGTCTGGCTGCTTTTCCATAATCCTCAACCTTTAAAGTGCCTCCTTTCTCTTCTTCTGAATCAAAAACAGAACTTAAGTCAGGAAGTCCATGAAGAGATCCAAAATGTATTTAATTATACTATTTCAATTCACTATTCTTGTCCCTACCTCAGCCACAGCTCCCCACCACATGGATGTGGACATTGTAGTATCACAGACTACTCAAGATTATCAATTCTGCACCTCAGTGCACTAAGTCTTGCAAATAGTGGGATGGAGAACAGTCCACAAACAGATACTTTGGTATCTCACTTGATGTAAAGTCTTAGCTTAATTTGAGATTGAAGGGGGAAAAAAAAACACAGACTAACAATTGAGGAAGAGAATATTTATAGGCTGAAGTTGGATGGTTTGGGAGAGAGAAAAAATATTGACAGATTACAGGACAGGAGCATGGGATGATGGGTTAGCACATCATGTAGAGGGGCCACATTCAGCTTGCTTAAGGGGCAAAAAAGTCAGGGGAGCAGTCCTACTCCTCTTGGCCCACATGAAGCTCTATAAAAAGCATGCACTTTCTGAAGCCAATTGTTCCAGTCTCCATTTAGCGAATGGGTTTTCCAAGTCTTTGGAAAATATCAAATCATCTCCCCATATGGAGACCCTGCACTCCTCCTCTGGTTGAGAGAATCTAATTTAGCATCAAAACTTTCACATCCATGTTGTGATGATGTGCTGCTACCTCACTGGATACAGAATTTACTTAAATTAGGCCATCAAGGCAATTCTACTTCAATTAGGCACAAACACTTACCAATAAGTCCAACATCAACTGCTCTATCATAGTAGTAGGAAAATGCATAAAATGACAGACTCCCCACTTCTTCGGGTTTATGCACTTTTTTGGAGAGTACTTTTTCTATCCTTGCATAACAGGAATCATAGATGGGTTCTCCTAGAACAGAAGCATAGAGAGGAAGAAAATGAGCTTGGAAAATCAGCTTCAGATTTTCACAGAAAACCAAAAATGGAAGAATATTTCCAGTTATACAGTTTGAAACTGGTGTAGGAAAAATTGAAGACCAGATGTTTTAACATAGAACCTCAATCACAGAATTAACAGCAGGCAGCTGTGAAGAATAAATCTCATTTAATGTCCTTAGGAATAAAGACCATCAGTTCTGGCTGCAGAATGGTTAGTATGTACCAAATTTCAAAAGCATAACAAGATATGTAAAATTTGACCTGGCAACTCTTTCCTTCCCCTACTTAACCAGACTGTTTGTATCCAAGATTCAAGTAATAAATTGCACAGTGCAATTCTGGAAGCTCAAACAGAACAATGTGATTGGTGTTCTATTGTCACACACCAAACAAGTACGACTAAATCCTAAGCAGCATCAAGCTTGGTAGACAGAGGTAAAAGAATCACTACTTCACTCTGCTTCTGTTTCCAACCAATCAACTATAACCTAAAAATTATGGGTACATTATTTCAGTCCATGATGTTCCTCCCTCATTACTCAGGCAAAAGCTGTAAATGTAGGGTACGGAAGGAGATGATCACATGACAGACACAGAATTCATCACCATTCAATGATTGCATAACTGAAAGTGAGGCTCATTAATTAACCTCTTTACATATTTATAAGTACACAAGAGCACAAGTCGGCCAGTTAGTTCCTGAAACCTGTTCCACCATTCAATTAGATCATGGCTGACCAGTTTCTCAACTCCATTTACCCGCCTTGGTTACCAGTCTGGGGAAAGCACAGGGAATTAGTTCCTAAAAAGAGCTGACGTAGGCACAATGTGCCAAATTGTTTCCTTTGTGCTGTAAAATTCTGTAATTGTTCACTATTTGTTAATTTGCCACAGTGTGAGGAGATTGGCAAATCAAAAGCAAATGTAATTAAAATAGGCACTTACCTGCTTTCTGTCCTTTAATGTTGTAAACAATTTCAGCGTGCTTCCATTCTGCTTTGTAGTTTGGTGATAAGCAAGAACTTTCAAGTTCTTGCCCTTCCTCAACTGCAAATGAGTGAACAATAAAAGGACAGCATAATTGCAAAATCAGAATGTTACAACTGAACTGCACTTTTACATCAGACTACTTAAATAATGTAATTACTAAATTTATCTGGAATATTTAATGAATATCTTATTTCATTAATTTGTGCTCTTTGTTTTGTTGAGACCAATATTGACCAGGTGTCAAAGTGATTAAATAATAATTCAAAGATCCACAAAGTTTGTACTGTTCTACAGAGCACTACTGTAACTCCTTAGCAAACTTAATGTCAACAAATCAGGTAACTTCATGAAGTTATACAGTCATAGATACCTACAACACAGCAAAAGGCCTATTGAGCCAGCACCAGTCAAAACCAACCACTTAACTATTCTAATCCCATTTTTCAGCACTTGGCCCACAGCCTTGTATGCCTTGGCATTACAAGTGTACATCTCAATACCTTTCAAATGTTATGAGGCTTCTGCCCCTACTAGCCTTACAGGCAGAGAGTTCCAGATTCCTATCAACTCCAGGGTCAAAGGCTTTTTCCTTACATCTTCTCTAAACCTTCATCCCCTCATCTTAAATCTAAGACCCTTGGTCTCCGAGCCTTTCATAAAGGGAAATGTTTCTTCTCGTCTATCCTATCTATGCCTTTGAAATTTTTCAAATTATGATCAGATCCCCTCTCAATCTCCTCTGCGCTGACAAAAAACTAGACTGTTCAAGCTCTCCATAAATTCTCCAGCCCAGGAAACATCCTAGTAAATTTCCTCTGCACCCTCTCCAGTTGCTATCACATCCCTCCTATAATGTGGATTCAAGAACAGCACACAATACTTTTAGCTGCAGTTTAACCAACTTTTATATGTTCCAGCATCGCTTCCCTGCTCTTAAAACTCAGTGCCTCAGCTAATAAAGGCAAGTAGACCACATGCCTTTGTAATCACTTTATCCATCTGTCCTGATTTAACATTCTAAACAGTGCTATCTTTTGCCAGTTTTCAAGTTGTGGGCTGCTTGGTGTCAATTTCACGCTTACTATAATCCTTCATGACCAGAAACTGCTTACTTTTCAGGTCAATGACCTTTCAATAGATCTGGGAAAAGTTAGAGATACAATCAAATTTGACCAAGAGGTGGGTGGGACAAGGACAAAGACAAAGGAATGTGTGATAGGGTGGAAGACAGGAAAGATTGAATGATGGAAGAATTAGTCCAATAGGGCCAAATAGAATGGTGATGAAGCAAAGAAAGAAACAACATGTGCCTAAAGCAGGTGTGCTGCTCGCAAAGTAAAAGTAAGAGAAAAATTGAAATATACAAAGAACAGGAAACAAAACCTGAAACTGTTGAATTCAAAATGGGTCCAGAAGGCCATAAAGTCCCTAAATGGAAGAGGAGGTGCTGTTCCTCAACCTCACATTGAGCTTTACTGGAATAATCCATCAAGCTGAGGACAGAGATGTCAGTATGAAAGTAAAAGACAGCCCAGAGACTATCAGTTATTAGCCTTTCATCTTAAAAACAGACAGAGAAGTCAAGCAAGGGAAGAGCCTAAGATGGATAGTGTGAAACTGAGAGAAAAGTGAAAAATAGAAACTAAGTTGATGAGCTTTTCCCATTCAGAATGAGAAGTAAACAGATATGGCCATCAATGCACTGGGCAAAAAAAAGTGTTGAGGGAGAAGGCCCAAGTAGGGCTGGGAAATGCAATGTTTCACATATCCTATAAAAAGAAAAAACCGGCATGGCTAGGCCCATAGTACCACCTTTTATTTGGAGGAAATGAGATGAAGTAAAAGGAGAAATTGTTCAATGAGGGAAAAAAAGAAGTCAGACAAACAGGGGAAGGCAGTGCTCATGAGAAACTGGCTGTGCCACAGTGAAGTAGTAGTGGACAGCCCTTCGACCATCCTGCTATTGAATGAAGGTGTGAAGAGGTTCGCCATCCATCATGAAGAGATGATGATTAGGACCAGGAAATTGAAAACTATTGAAATAACAGCAGGCAATCAAAAAACCATGGATATAGATGAAGAAAGACCAGAGAAAAAAAAAATGAGTCAAAGAAGGATAAAATTAGCTCAGTGTGGCTGAACAGGGGGAGGCTGTGGCATTCCAGAACCCCCAAACCAGTTTTCTGGGGGCATGAGTACAGGTGGAATAAAGAGCTGGCCCAATGATGACCATGTCACCACTATCAATTGTTGTAAACCCATCTGGTTCACTAATACCTACTACAGATGGAATCCTTACTTGGTCGGGCCTACGCGTGACTACATGGTTGATGTTGCACAGACGTGCATGCAGTGGGCTCTTAACTGCACTCTGGGCAATTAGGGATAGGCAATAAATGCTGGCCTAGACAGTGGTGCAGGCATCTCATGAATGAATTAAAAAACAGACAGAAATGGTGGGACAGTCCTGTTTATGGATATTGGTAAGGAGGTAGAGACCTGCTATTTTAATTCTCCACCTTGCTCTCATGTTGGTCTAACTCGACTACTGTACTGTCCTAGTGAAGCTCAACATTATCTTACGTAGTAGCCCATCATCATTCAATTAGGCACTTTATAGCCTCCCTGATTCTAGGAGGAGTTTAATAATTCAAATCATAAACTGTCTTCCCATTTTCTTAGACAACAAGGTGCAGAGCTGGATGAACACAGCAGGCCAAGCAGCATCATAGGAGCAGAAAGGCTGATGTTTCAGGCCTAGACCATTCATCAGAAATGGGGGAGGGGAAGGGGGTTCTGAAATAAATAGGGAGAGAGGGGGAGGCGGATAGAAGATGGATAGAGGAGAGGATAGGTGGAGAGGAAACAAACAGGTCGAAGAGGCGGGGATGGAGCCAGTAAAAGGTGAGTGTAGGTGGGGAGTTGGGAGGGGATAGGTCAGTCCAGGGAGGACGGACAGGTCAAGGGGGTGGGAGGAGATTAGTAGGTAGGAGATGGGGCTGCGGCTTGAGGTGGGAAGAGGTGGGAGGAAGAACAGGTTAGGGAGGCAGGGACGAGCTGGACTGGTTTTGGGATGCGGTAGGGGGAGGGGAGATTTTGAAACTTGTGAAATCCACATTGATACCATTGGGCTGCAGGGTTCCCAAGCGGAATATGAGTTGCTGTTCCTGCAACCTTCGGGTGGCATCGTTGTGGCACTGCA